TGCTTTACTTGGAAATAAGTAAATCCCTCTCTGACAGAAGTTCCAAATATATGAAACTTGTGAATTAATTTGAAGATGGCAGAAACCGCCTGCAGTGCTTTTCCCCTCTGCATATCGCTATTCATTTTTAAGGGATCCAACGTGGCTTTGTTCAGGGTTTACCTTAAGGTGATAAAACTGAAGAAGTTCAATGCATCCTGACTGGCAGTGCTCAAGCTGGGCTGTGCAGACACAGTCACTGAAACCAAGAGTATACGCTAAAGCGAAGTGTAATGCAGCAGTAACTCATCATCATGCTGGAACTCATCAGTGGCGGTTGAGCACTCTGGGGCAGGACGTGCTTTATGCCATAACTAATTACAACATCAGTGTATATTGTTTAGTAATTAGTGAGTTCTGCTAAGAATCTCCTTTTTAAATGGTCTCTTCACTGGCATTTTGTTCTTCCATTAAAAAAACAAACTCATTCCATAATGATGTATTCTATGATATATATGATATTTTATGATAAATGATATATATGAATATATGATACAAATATTATCTCTCTTGTGTGTATATATGATTTATTTTTATGTCATATATACACAAATATGTGTGCACACATACCTATACATAGGAGAGGGCTGGAGCACCTCTCCTATGAGGACAGGCTGAGAGAGTTGTGCTTTTTCAGCCTGGAGAAGAGAAGGCTCCGGGGAGACCTTATAGCAGCCTTCCAGTATGTAAAGGAGGCCTACAGGAAAGCTGGAGAGGGACTGTTTACAAGGGCATGTAGTGATAGGACAAGGGGTAAGGGGTTTAAGCTGAAGGAGGGTCGATTTAGATGATTGAAAATTAGGAAGAAATTCTTTATTATGAGGGTGCTAAGGCACTGGCACAGGCTGCCCAGAGAAGCTGTGGATGCCCCCTCCCTGGAAGTGTTGAAGGCCAGGCTGGATGGGGCTTTGGGCAACGTGGTCTAATGGAGGGGGTCCCGGCCCATGGCAGGGGGGTTGGAACTAGATGATCTTTGAGGTCCCTTCCAATCCAAACCATTCTATGATTCCATGATATATGTATGTGTGTGTATGATGATTGCTTCAGGAAGGTGTTTTACTGGTTAAAAGAGGTGAATGAGGGGAGCCCAGTATGAAAGTCTGCATACCGTGTTGTCCAGCGAGTGCCAGGAACCAAACTGTTCCCTGCACATTTTTACTGAGCCTTGCTAAGACAAACATAGGGACTATATAGGATGTACTAGGAAATGTTAGATGAATTATTCAGAAAATTACCAATTTTCTCTTTTCATGCATAGAAAATCAGGACTGGATGGTGCTCTGCAATGTCTTTGTTAGCCAAGCACAAGCTACTACACTTAATAGAGGGAAATAGTTGGGTGAGATATTTGGACCATGGTCCAGTTAGTGACATCATTACTGTCTTCAGCCAGCAGGCTGGCCTTTTCTATGGCATAAAAGGAAAGCTAGACTCTTGTGCAGGCAACTGCCTTTGCAAAATCCTTACTCATTGGTTCAGGAAAAGATACAAGAAACTTCAAAACGTGTAATTTCCCTGGTGGAAAAGAAAATGCAAGTTTCATGTAGCTGCGAGAGCGATTTCTTCCCAAGTTAGTGCCTGATTCTTCATTTCTTAAGCAAAGATTTTAATATTCCCATTATCATGACTTTTTTGACACTTGGTAAAGAAAAAGCCTAAGGGCCTCTCAACAAATAAGGATGTTCCTGATTAACTCTAAACACGTTTACCGTGAAACAGGAGCATCGTGTTCTGCGTTAGCCTAGTCCATGTTACGCAGGGGGAAGGCACTTCTATTTGGAGCAAGAGTCCCTACATGTTGTTAATTAGGAGCAACTCCTGTTCAGACAAGCCCCCAGGAAAACTGTTCTGACATGCATGTATGCAAATACAGATTGTCCTTATTTGTGGTATGCATGAATAAGAGCCATAGATATCAATTTGTAAATATTAAAGGGTTGCACATGCCTGTTACAGGTCACAGGAAATTGCTCAGACACTTTAGTTCTCACATTGTTTTCTGCAGGTAGGGGAGACTGTGGCCCCAAGTACAAAATCTGGCAGGTTATCTTGAATAATATATGGAATTACATAGGAATGGTGTACTGGTGTACATAAAATTGTTTTCTCTAGTTGAGCTATTAAGTTGTAGAAAGAGAGACAACTTTTTAAAGGCTTCTTGAATCAAAGTGTCCTCCCATCACCCCTCATCCCACTTCTCCCCTTCTCCCCTCAAACCAGTCAGGGTTTATCAGTGAGCTAATTCTCCTAAGCAGCTCTTGAGGAAAAACTTCTTCTAGTGAGAGAAATGTGACTGGTGTCAAGTTAGGTCTTCTCCAGTCCTCATGTGGACTTGCTGATGAAAAGTGATTAACATTACTTAAAGGAAAATCATCAAGGTCTTTTGATGAGAAGCCTGTTTCCCAATGCCAAGGGAGAAAGAATTTACCACTTCACTTGAGCATTGGTTCCAGTGTATAATTGCATTCAACGCTACATGTTTTTTCCTTTTTATCCCATTTGATTTGGCTCTTGGTAAATATTTCTGAACATAGACACATTTTTAGAATTCCTGCCTAAACTTTTGATTTGCATACTGCCATATATGCTCAATAACTTTACCTGAGGCTTTTTTATTTGTAGTTTACCCTAGGTACAATTTCAATTCATTCAGCTACTTTTCCTCCATAAACTTTGATTTTTAGCAGGTTTGTAGAGGTAAGGGAGCCCTGACAGAGAGAACAGCATATACTACCAGGGAGAAAACCTGAATTGACTTTCTATTCTTTATCACAAATAAGTTAGCCTGCACATTATTCAGTATGGATACAATTGTTATACACTGCAGAGTAAGTTCCCACTTCCATTTGGAAATTGTGGATAAATTTGGTTTTTTAGGTTTCTTGAAGCTTATGTGGTCATGCACTGTTTGACTTTTACTTAAGTGATTTCATAACCTCTTAGCAAATTTGGAGCCACTTTAGCAAATGGGTGGAGATAATTAAGATAATGAAATTTCTATGACTTTTATGAATATAGGCAAAAAGGTATAGAGAGACCCTGTTAGTGCTCTGAGTGAGGAAAAAGGTTGTGGAGGGAAGGCATGTCTTTTGACATGACAGAGAACTTGAAATACTTATGACCACCAACTGCAGGAAGTCTTTCAGTCAGAATTTAAGACATAAATACTCGGTTCTGGGGCTCTTGGCTACTGGCTTGTTTGTGGAATACCAGACCAGTCCGGGCACACTCCTACACAGCGTTTGGACCAAAAAATTCATAGAAGGGGGTTTCCCTCTTGTGTCAGATGAACTTCCTCCGTTCAGACTTACATTGATGACTGAAAGGCGGGTTGAGCTGTCTGCATATGTATTATACACTCTTGCCCTATTTTTATTCTTCCAAATTATTGTGCAACAGAAGTCTGTGTAGGCTTTTCTTTCTAAGTATGGCAACAGCTGTTAGAGCACATCTGGAAAATATGCTTTGAGCAAAGGTATTTTAGCTCAGAGAATTTCACAATGCATGGGATATTTACCAGCACTTCTTTCCAGAATACAAATCTCATTTATCAGTATTTTTAATGTAAAACTCTTCATTTTTTTAATGAAGTTATGATTGTATCACAGATTGGCCATTCCAGTGTAGTTCAAGGCTAAATGCTGCAAAACAAAAACAGTGCTTAGCTACTATTTTTAGGTAGAAGCCTACGTAAGCCTGTCTAATGCCCTAATAATTTCTTCACTAATTTCAGCCAAATATTTTCCCCTTCTTTGATTCTAAAGAGAAATAATCGTTTTATACCGGAATCACATTCAGAGGAAAATTGCTCTTCTGGCTGGACTCCTGCTCTGTGCTTCTTGAGGCTCATGTTAACGCCCTTCTGCACCATCTCCCTCTCTAGAAAATAGAGATAGTTGTACCCCCTACAATTACTCAGAACTTCTCTGAAGTCACTGAGAATGTTTACAAGCTAGGATCCTGGCCGCTTCAAAATGAACGGCAATATTTCTGTTTGTGATAGGAGCCCAAGCGTTGTGGTTTCTAAGCTTTCTTCAGAACTGCTGAAGAAAACTGCTGAACTGATATCGCACTGCAAAACCAGAATTATTAAAATTATTAATTAGAATTGAAACAAGAAAGCAGAAAACTTTCAAAACTTTAAAAAACTTTAAAAAACCTCTATCCATTAATTTATTGATAATGTTACTCATTTTGTTTATTTGGAAAAAAATGACTAAAAATAAAGATGCAAAACCCCAGAACCTTTACTAACCAGGTAATACTTTAATCAGGATCTCGCATTTTGACCCAAACGTCTCAAAACCAGCCAACCAACTTGCTTTCAAGATGATGGGGGAGATTTTGCAAATAGATAACATTTACTAACAGTTCCCTGAATGAGAAATCAGTTTCCCTTTATTTAGAGTAGGAGGCAACTTTTTAATGCCAGATACTGTTGTGTTGGAACAGCTTTGCACCTGAATTTTACATCCTAAAAGCTATGCTTGTTTTCCAGCTGGAGGCAAAATGCAGTTACCCAACCAAGGAAGAAACTACAGCTAAAAAAATGAATGAGGTTAAAAAAAAATCTGTGGCAGTGATACCACAAAATAAAGGAGTAACATGGAATGTATTAGTGGTAATGTGGGAGAATTAATTCCAAATTATTGACACTTTAATTGACCTACAGGAAGTATTTAATGGGCTTAGTATGCTGTGCTGTTCTTCATTTTTTAATCTTTTCCACTGGGCAGAAACCCAGTTTTTCCAAGCATGAGGTTTAAAGTTGTAACAAATGATTGCTGTGGTGGTCAGACGCCAGCGCTGGATGTGTGACCGAGTATCTTCCCCTTCCATCCGACACTGGCAAAGCCCACCTGGTGAGCAGGGCTTGGGTGCCTCTGCTCCACTCTTATCTCAATCTCGCTGGTTACAGAGGCTCTTTGCACCCGATATTCATAAGGTCATTTGACCCCCAGGCTCCGACTGCACGAAGAAAAGGTCATTAAAGATCGGCGACACCACCTCAAGACGTACCCAAACTGCTTTGTAGCCAAAGAGCTGATCGACTGGCTGATTGACCATAAAGAGGCCTCCGACCGAGAGACGGCAATTAAACTGGTGCAAAAATTACTGGATCACAGTATTATCCACCATGGTAAGTGCAATATTAGCTGCTAAAAAGTCCTAAGCCCAATTTTATTGACTGTGGTGAAACAGAGAAATCCTGCTCCTGCTCTTCAGTCAGGTATAGGACAGGTAGGATCCTTTCCCTGCCAGAAAGGGAGCGTCTCCCTTCAACGGTCTGCTCCACAAGGTCCCCCATGTCCCGAGGGACACGGAGAGGCTGAAGAGGTGTGGAGTGACATTCCCCATGTCAGGACAGGGGGAAGGCACTGAAGGCTGTGCTGCTGCTTCCCTGGCTCCAGAGCAGCCCCAGCTGGATCCTGTCCTCTGTCTCCCCACTGCCCTCACCTCCGTGCTCCCCAGAGCACAGTTTTCCAGCTGAAAAACCCATCTGAAAAATCAGACGGCAAAAAAAGGTCATTTTTCTCACGTGGATTAGTTCTCCGGCCCTGTCCTCACACCAGCTGCACAAACATTAGTGCTGGTACAGCTGCAAGAAAGTTAGTGGGCCGACTGTGCCCTGATTAATTTTCTCCTAAACTTGTTGTCTATTTGAGATCTGTTCCTTTCAGCTTCTTGAATAACAATTTACACTGATGAAAGGGAGACTTCCAATTCAGTGGTAGCATTTAGTTGCCTTTTTGTGCACAAAAAAGCTGGGAAGCACACAAACAAAGCAGATCCAATCCCTTGATTTTGAACTTAAAGTATTACCCATTTCAAAAAGGCAAAATGTACCATTTGTTTCTTTTTTAAGGGAAAACTGAACGACTGCGAACAGACGAATGTCGACTTTATGCAGGGGTCACTCTATGTGCAGCAATACTGCTGCTATCTGCAATACATTAACAACACCTTAATTAAAGAAAGAAATGCACATATTGGATGAGTGCCACTTCTACAGCTTCTGCTTGACTATTAAATTAAAATTCTGGGTTGTTATGGAAACTGGGACTCATGGTAGATAGTTAAAGAATAAAGTAATTATAGGGTATTCAAATCTGACTACTTAATCCTCTATTGAGAAAATGTCAGTGAAGAGTTGCGTGGATGCCCGAGTGACTTAATTTAATTGAGCAATAGATGTTTTATAGGTGAATGTTTGTTTAAAGCTTTAACAACCTTCAGATGTTTTCTACCTGAGGATCCAACTGCACACTGTAACTTCCATACAAATTTTATATATATGTGTGTATATATTACACATAGAGCAGGTGTTTCTTGAAAATGTTCATGTATTCCACGCAAATAATAAAACCTTTTGCGAATTGAGCTAGGGCAAATTCAGAGAGCTTCAATCAGGTTCTGCAGGATGCTCAGAGCATCCTTTCAACTCCCGTGTCAAGTGAAGGGGGTACCCGTTCCTGCTGCGGAAGGTGAGCCCAGGTATGTGGGGTGACAACTCTGCTAGGAGCAACTTGTTTGGGATGTCTTTCCCATTAATTTGTGCCCTTGCTGGAGCTCTGTTCTGCATTTACAAGAGCCCATTGTCAGCTGCCGTCTTATAAACCTTATGTAGTGTTTCTCTGTGTGCTCCCGTTGTACCTACCATTTGCTAGCTGGCAGGGCAGAGCAACTGAGACAATTTTGAGAGGGCAGAAGGCTGTGATTTTAATTGTTTCTGCAGCAAGTCTCAGGTTTCCTACAGCATTGCTCAACTGATACTAGTAACTTTAAGAAGTTTGCCAATCAAATTATCGGGTGTTCTATGCTGGTGGCCTTTCAAACAAGCAAGCTAACAGACTGTTTTCATGAAGAGGTTTTCCGGGTATATGCAGACAGATGGTTTTTTCCTCTTTATGTTTGCAGTAATACTTACAAACCTGATGAACACCTATCACCCTCACCTAGAAATCTGGTTACCTATCTGAAAGTTTTCTCCAGCCTTTCATCAGTTACTAGAACTGAATAAAGTCGTATGCTCAGAAATGCAGGGGGTTATGCTCCATGCGCACTTGCCTTGAAGTTCAGCAGTGATATCTGCTAGATGGATCCTCAACTCATTAACATCTATATGCAGGGTTTTTATTTTATTTTACGTTTCAGTCTGCGACGAGCATAAGGAATTCAAGGATGTCAAACTGTTCTACCGCTTCCGAAAAGACGACGGGACGTTTCCGCTGGACAATGAGGTGAAGGTGTTCATGAGAGGACAAAGACTGTATGAAAAGTATGTTGCATTCAGTATCCATAATGTGTTGATAATAGTACCACGGGAGGCAAATGATACTTGTTAATCTATTTTTGAATAGCCAGAGGCTTTCAACTCATGGAGGAATGGGTCTGGGTCATCCCATGACTTTAGTTGGTAATCTTTCTCCCTCTTTCCCATTTCTCTTTTGCTTTTCTACCATATTCACTTGTAGCATTTTGTTTAAAATGAAAGAGCATTTTCTGATCTTCTGGGTTGCACATACATCCTATATGAAAACTCAATGTAAATTTAAGCCCTTGCACTCTATTCTGTAAAAAAAAATTACTAAAGGACGATTTGTCATGTAAAATTGTAATCACAAAACCTAAAACGTTAGTACATCAAAATGCACTGAACAAGTGGCTATATATCTGTTGAGACTCCTTATCTACAGCTTCACCAGGAGGTATGATTTTAAATAATAACTGAAATTAATCTTCAGTGTTCCAGTCTGCAAAGCTTCTACATCAGAAAGGTTATACTAAAAGTAGTTTCAAAAAAAACCCAGCCAAGAACATCTAATTAAGATTTGAAACAGATGATTATGCTGGATACCGAATATCCCACTGGATTACTTCCATCAAATAACTAGGCAGCTTAACCATACTTCCCAATCTATAATTAATGACATTTTTATTCAGGATGTAGAGATTGTGACACGGTACTTTCAAGCAGAGGGAATAAAATGCATGTTGGCATATGCTACAAACTAATGCAAAAGTTGTGATGTGTTATTTACCCAAAAGCGTGAAGCATTGCTCCAGCCTGAATCCTGCTCACTCTCCTGCTCAGTTAGAGCAGCAGCCAGGAGAGATGCCGTGTCCTCTGGCTGGAGGAATTTTGTTTCCCTCTTAGAATAAAGCATGCATTCTCCTGCAGTCATACCAGCTTCTGAAAAGTAGGTTCAGCCCCACACATCAGACATACCCTTCATCGGTAGTGTAAGTTCATAAGGTGTTGTCATGGTCAGGTGTGATGAGTAAAATTCCTACCTGTGCAAAGACCTAGAGACGAGTAGAAAGATCTACGGAGTCTGGGTATTTTTTTACTGAAACTCTGTAACAGGTATCAGGACAATCCCAAGTTTGAAAGGTGATTGTTTTCAAGGTTAGAAGGCTCTGAAGCTCAATTTGGTGAAAAAGTAATTTAACTGAAATATAAACCAATAATTGTAAATGCCACTCCTTTTGTTGCACCCATCATATAAAATTCCCTGAGACACAGTGACTGTGACTATTTAAAGTAAAAAAAAAAAAAAAAAAGACACAAGAAAATACACCATGGGAAAAAATCCTTCATTGGATGCAACGTGATCACCCATCTCCAAAATCTCCCGTGCCTTACTAAGCACAGCATTTGTACATTTAGACTCTGTAGCACTCGGTGCCTGCAAGCCTGGCCCATACTATGAAGAACTGATTGGTGTGTCTACAGTAGCAAACCTTTTTTTCTATTTGTTTCCATATTTCTATTTCTATTCTTCTGTGAGAAAAATAAGTTTTTGTTGGTGAGGCTGATAACAGTCCTCTGCATGAAAGGAGCTATGGTGGGAAGAATTCTGTTTTACCAGCGTCTGCTTCCATCCCCATTTCTCTGCATGGAAAATTATCCCCAAACCAACGTCTAGTGTCCATTTGTCCAACACAATACTAGCAGAAAAATGTTCATAACAGTATAGATTGTTCATCTTGGAAAAGGATTTAATGCCAAAAGCAGCACCTATATCTAAATATAACAGCATCGTCATGAAGTGGTTGCTCCTAGGCAACGTATCTAAAGGGTTCAGAAACTTTTAAAACCAGCCCTGAGTGCTAAATATAGTATAGATTAAAAATACATGGTATTTCAAAACCAGTCTGTGACAGTCAAAGCTAGTCAAAATTCTCCATGGATCATTGGAAGTATTTTATATTCATGGGAGCTAAGAACACATACCTGGGCTATCTGGGCTTCACTTTGTTTATTGAGCAAATCCAGCGTGCGGAGCACTTGGATTTCATTAGATCCTTTGTCCATACATGCTAATTAGCAACACCTTCACAGTTTAATTGGATGCATTTTAAACTCAAAATCTAATACTGAAAGTCAGACTACTACAGAAAGAGTTCTGCAATAAAATGTGTGTATGTGTAATATATCTGTTGTATCAGCTTGCTGATAGTGTTGATAAAGAAAATATTAATTCACTGCAATTAAAATAGTTATTAAATGGCAACAGCTGGAGAAAAGTATTCATGCACAGATGTGAAGTCACTTACCAGTATATTCAACCTGTTTATCAAAATGCCTGTAGGCTTAATTTCAAGAGAAATGCAACTATGCCAAAGGAAATCTGTCTGAATCCAATATATTTAAAAAAATCTCTGTCTAATTTTGTAGATGTTGTTGATCTTCACTAGGCTTTGCTAGTTTAAGATAGACATTATAATACTATTTCCTGCTCTTCTCCACCCACCACATTAGGGCTGGAGTACCGTTACATTCAGAAGCCAATGTAGTTTGTGCTTGCCAAAATTGCAAACACGTTATCCACCAGCAGTCCACGCAGATTTGTACCCTCAATGGGTAAAATGAGCAAAATGCTTGAGGAGGATCAGCAGGTTGTTGCATGGGCAGAGGAATGGATGTGTTAGGCAGGTTCCCTGCATTCAGACAGCTGTTTTGGGTAAATGCCCCGTGCTTTCCCCTGGGACACAGGGACATTAGGACCGTCCCCCCACTGAGGACCTCCCTTTCCCTGTCTCCCTCTGTGTGTCCGCAAAGCTCCTTGTAGCCTGGATTGTCTTCCCTTGTGGCATTACCTCCTTCACCTACTGTGGACATCTTCGGTGGCTGTACCTGTGCGATTCGAAGATTTAAAATCAGTCTCTGGTTGTATTCTCCCTTCATTTGGACTGAAAATCGTAAATCAGTTCAGATTCCCTGCACATCATTGCAAACTTTGGTAATCCTTTCTGTAAAGGTGCTTTGAGGTTCAAGTTTACAACTAGACATGAAACCTACTGGATTTCCTACAGACTTGTCTGAAAATTGTTGAATAGTTTATTAGGTCCAAGGATGGTATCAGTTTTTATACTCTACAGGACTTGCCAAGTAGATCGAATGAGATAAACATGTTTTCTGTTCAACAAAACCCTCCCTGCAAATCTTAAATAAATCCAGCACAGACCTTTCATGGCCTTTAAAAAAAATGAAGTTGTGCAGGCATCCCATTTTTATGATGTTTGCAATTCTCAGTAGGTTTTGGTCAGGCACACAGGATTGTTGGGTTTGGTGCAGTCGGGTTTAGGAGCTATAAGTCATCTCATGATGTTGACTTCAACTAAGATTTTTTCATCCAAATTTCACAGTGAAAGAAGCGCAGATTTATGGTTTTATTTTCAGGAAATCGTTCAGATAATTTTGAGACGGCATTCTTTGAATCACTTTCATTTTAACTCATCAGTGGTTAAGTCAAATTTATCTAGCCTTCGGTGCAGTTATTTAGATAAAACAAGGTTAAAATTTTCTTTTGAAAGGAATCTGAATTTCAGTGTTTGGCTAAACACATTCTCGTAATGCAGGATAACACCAGTTTTAGCAAATAATATGTTTTGACATGAGTAGCCTCATGTTTTTTTGAAACAAGGAGAAAATGGAAGAAATAGAGAGAGTTTCCAATTCTGGCTAATGAAAGGCCAGGTTTTTGCCTGATGTAAATCAGTACAGCTTTGTTGACAGCCATGGAGTTACAGTGATTTACTTCAGTTAGCGATGTAAGTCTATGGATTGCTGTTTCTGGGTTTGTTAAACTGTCAATTTGTCGTGTCTGTTTGTTCACAAGTCCAAATCCTTTGCAGCGCTATTCTGGGCGCATGCAGAAGGGTGTGAAATGTCAAGCTGAGTGTTTTTCCACTTGATGTTTTTCCAAATTTCTTTTGTGTCTCTGTAAAAATCTAATGATTAGCATCTCTTTTTCAAGGACCTCTCTATCTGCGACTTCAATGAGCTGGTCAACTAATTATAGACTCATCAAAGAGCAATTAACACAATCCCAAGGATTTTTTATTTAGTGCCTGCAGAGCCTGGGTAACCAGTTCTGGGTAACCATGCAGCAGATGGTGCGAAAAGACACGAGCTTTGGGTTTGCATTCTTTTTCTGGGTTAAAAAATCCTGGAGAACGAGATACATTTAAAGATGGCCCCTCGGAATGCTGTCTGTATTAGAAGTGGTTAGCGTGGGACACAATGTTCCTTTGCATGCAGATGCTTGTAAATCAAAATATGAAAAAAGAATAAACCTTTGCAAGAGTTCTGGAGTCAATACCTTGTTCCCTGTGGCACATACTCTTGCTTTTGGCCTCATCCCTGAGTTCAGCTGATTTTGACTTAGCTCTTACTCAGCTCAGAGGTGCTGGCAATGCTGCACCAACACCTAAGCAAGTGGTTCGTTATATCTGCCACTGACATACAGCCGTGGTTGAGCAGCCATGCCTGGTTTGATCATCTGCTGCCTGGTGGTCAGATCCAGTCAGTTCAGGCTTCTGGTTAGCTGTCTTCAAAGTCAAGGGAATAAATCTTTCAGGTGGAATAACAGGGGCTGTATCCTGTCAAACGTCTTCATTGTAATTTCAAATGAAACTTCTCTCTGTGTCCTTATGGCACTGATTTTTCTGATGCCTCCCAAAGGAGGTGAAGTTATATTCCATGATCTCTGGACGTGCTGGCGGTTTAAGAAGGAGATGGCTCATGTACAGATTTACATGAAATTCAAATTTTTGATCAGAAAGGCAAAGATTAAGCACTTCCAGAATATTCCTGTGGTAGTTCAGTTGTGCCCTTAATTTCAAAATAGTTGGTGAAGGGAGGGGATTTATTAGTCTTACATGGAAGAAATAACCATGCCATTCTTGAGCTGTTGTTCTGAAAGTCTTAGCACTAGTCCTATTATTAGCCTATAATAAATAAAATAATTCTGAAGAAAAATGAAATTAGTAAATAAGGAGCCTATGGTGCCCAGTCTCCCAACAAAACAAAAAAAGTGGGATTCTGTATTAAAAGGGAGCGATTCTCATTTCTTCTTTTGAACCGTCAACCTTACTTTTGCATTAACAAAATACTGAGGGGGGTTTTTTTTATTCTTTTTTTTGTAATACTGTGTCATTTGTGTAGGTTACCTGAATGGAGAAGAATTTTATTAGCATCTTTAATCTAGGTACATACCAATTGCTGGGAGATTTACAGGCACCTCACGATGTTCCTCTGAACTCTGGTGTTACACAGAGCCAACTGAGGCACTGAGGCTCTGAGACTCAGATGTCAAAATGTGTTCAGGTGTGTAACTCACTGATTGCAGCTGCATCACTAAGTGTTGGGCACTAAATATTTAGCAACCACCCAAACCACAGAACTACCTTTTTTTTTCTTCCTCTTGAATTTTTCTGCAGCTGTTTTAGAGCTAATGGGGAGAATTTTCAAAACCATCTAAATGACTTTGGGGCATAGTCCTGCTAACTGTAAAAATTAAGTAGGAATTTTTGAACACATTAGTCACAACCTGGTGCTTTTAGGCTAATTTTGTTTCAAAATTGATTATACAGTAACTTTTAAAGAAGCTAAAGAACTAAATAGGGGAAATGTGAAACTGAAACCCTTGTTTTCTTTTAGGGAAAAAAACAAGAAAGCATTAACTTCACGCAGGGATATAAAGCCTAAATTTCTTGACTAAGCAGTTATAATTCACATCCTAAGTTTAGACTGATAGCTTGAGGAAAGATTTAGTAAGTCAGTGAAAGGTTCACATATGTTTGCTTAATATCAGTGAGATTTGCCAGAAGAGATCTGGAGTTGCTTTTCTGAAGAATCTTTTTCCCTACCAATTTTTTTTTCCCTCCATACCAGGCTGATGAGTTCTGAAAACACTCTTCTGCAAGCCAGGGAAGAGGAAGGAGTCAAGTACGAACGGACCTTCGTGGCATCGGAGTTCATTGACTGGCTGATCCAGGAAGGAGAGGCCACGACACGGACTGAAGCAGAGCAGCTCGGCCGCAGACTTTTGGAGCACGGGATTATACAGCACGGTGAGAAATTTACTACCAGGTAGCAAAAGCTACACTTTTTGTAGCACTTTCTTCAGGTCAAATCATGTAGAGGGGCTCTTGTTTTCTTGGTCATAATATATCCAAGTTCTAAATAATTTCAAATAGGAGTCTAGGTAACTTTATTTAATAAAAGGGGGGCTTTTTCAAAAGCTCGTTGTATTAGTTCTGAAAATTCTGCCTCAAATGCAGAATACTGCTAGAATTTGGGATTGTAGAATAACTACATAAGGATGTGGATGAAAATCAACACTCCTACACTTGTGGTAATTAACTTGTAGAACTTGTTATCAATGATATGTGTAATTGAGGTAAATAGCTTTGCAAGGATCAAGTAGGGATTAAAGCCATAAATAAGCTAAATTCTCTATGTAGAATAAAAATGACAGGTTCTGTGTATTTTCCTTCTTGAGGACAGGAGTGGAGCACAATCTGATGCCAGAAAAGCAGCTTTCCCTCTTGGTCATGTTCCAGAGTCATTCTAGTATGTTTGGGCAAGAAAGAGGGTATCACTTTCAGCTGAAGTGTTATTCTATTTGTGCTGGTGGTGTAACTTCTTTGGGGCCAGAATTGAATATTTCTTCATGGTCCAGTCCAATGTGTCTGGCAGATGCACCTTTACCAAGGAGCTCCCTCTGTTAAGGGTGAAGGAGACAAGAGTTTTCTGTCCATACTGCCCGAAGGGTGAAGAAATGAACACTGCTGGCGCTAAAACCCATTTTACATGTTGCCATCATCTCTGTTATAAACACTCTCACTGCAAGTTTCCCTTCTGTGACCAGGCATTTTCCACCCTGAAAGCGTTGCAGTGCCTCTGAGAGTGATGAAGGGGTGCCAGGAGATGACAGAACAAGCTGGCAGAAGCTGTTCGCTACGTTGCTTAATGCACAACGGGGAAAGTAATCAGATCCTGGTGATCCGAGTGTTGTCACATCAACGCTAATTCTGACAGAGAACAAACAATTCACGATATTAACAGGTTGTTAATATACAAGGTGCAAGATTGACGAGGTTGCTTGTTGCTTTGTGAAAAACCTAGTTTTAAGGAATAGAGGAAAAAGGGGGTATAAGTGACCTGTACCGTTCCTTCGTGGTTGTAATCATGCTCACATTATCTTTAGCTTCCAATTACTAGGAGCTACTTCTGAATGTTTACAGTAATCAGCTTCCAGTTCTATAATTACCCCGCTGCTTCCTATGATTTATAGGGTGCCAACTGCTTGGAGCTTGATGGACAGGGAAGGTATGCAACTCCTCCTTTTCATAGTAGCAATGACTTCATTCCTATTTTTACCCAAGAATTTTCTGTGTATTATTTACATGGTAAACCTTCCTTAAAAAAAAAAAAAAAAAAAGACGGAAGTGAGATTTACACTGCTATTGATGTTTTTGCAGAGGAAGTAAAGTCAGGACTTGACATTTGGTGCAAGGCTGGATTTACTTTGCTATTGAAATCTTTGCAGAGCTAAGAAAGTCAGGATGTGGCTTTTATTGCAGATCAACCTTTGTTTCAGGAACTAAGGCAAATGCTCAGCAGTGCGCCTTGGCAGGGAAATAATTTTGCCCCCGTCAAGCCGGGTTTCTGGGAGGATTCCTGAGCGACGCTGGCCCTGCTCACCTTTATGGATCGCTCTGGCCAGTTTTGCAGATTTTTCCCTGCACATCCTCTTCTAGCAGTCAAGAAGACATGCGATGCGCCCTGTTAGAAAGAGACTGAAACTCATGAAGTGACCGCAAACGGGGCGCTGGGAATTGGTTGATTGCTGAGGAAGTGGCCTTCTCACTCCAAGGTACCATCATCCTCCTCACTCAGCTGTTATTGGGGCAAAGGTATCTCAGTGGGGATTTCACACGGACTTGATGGGGAAGCTGGAAGTAAAATAAAACTGAATGATGTCCTTGAGATTTATCTTTATGAGTGGACACGCTTTGTGCACACTCCTAAACAGGAGATTCCATTCTCCTCTGAATTTCACTGAAACAATTTGCCTAGATTTTGTTAGGAATATTGATGAAAGTACTGGCAGAATTAACACACAACTGGTCTGGGGTTCACCTTAGCAACTAGATACAATCTGTGCATTTTGAAGATTCATGTAATGCTGGCTTCTTCTAAGAAGAGAGCTCAAAATGAGAACTCCCAGTACAGAATTGGGGATATAAACTGTAAAATGGCAGGAATGGTATTCTCATTTCGCACCCCCACCCCCCCATCTCACTGAATTCTAGGTCCAATTAAAAAAAAAAAAGGAAAAGGTATTTTTCTATCTCTTAGTACAGTGAATTAAGTTCATCAGACTATGCTCCCTTTGTTTTGGATCTCATCAGCAGTACCAAAATGTTACTTGACACTAATTGACATCCTTGTTGGCAGAACCGGCAGAAAGACTCTCAACTGTGCAGGAGTGGAGAATAAAAGATTTTCCTACCCTAAAGGCAATCTTTTGCTAGCAGTATGGTTTGATATCCACAATATGGAACAAAATAAAGCCTGCTGTACTATTCTTATGAAGTATTTATTGCCTTACCTAATGCAATAGAAAGTAATAGAAATAGTTGCATCAAGTTGCCAATCTCAGTAGTAATTTTCCAGCCACAACCGAATTGTGCAATTTATTTTTACTGATACTGACTTTCATTTCAATTACTCAGAGAAGCTGTAGTCTGCAGCTGAGGTACTGTATTCAAAACAGCTTCCTGTCACATTTATCTTCACTTTAATTGGTCAGACACAAACCAGGTTTCACACAGGAAACAAACACCGATGCTAATTTTAAAAAGGAAAACAGCGGTTTAAGAGGAATTGCATAAATGCTGTAAAAACATCAAATGTTTCAGTTTTAAAATAATCTTCCTGATCTCTTTGGGCATATATAACTATACATATTTCCCCTGCCATACATGAAAATGATGAAACGTGCTTAAGTGCTGAATTGCTTCCTTCCAAAATCCCACTGGCGCATGCAAATCGAAACCCACAAACCACCAGTTTTCACAAATAGGAGCCAGATGTCCTTTCCCATGGACGGTACCCCCAGGTACTATGGAATAATAATAATAATAAAAAAAAAGCAGCAGGGTATTATGCACTGTACATTTCTTGAAGGCTTGTCTTGGCAGTGAAATTGCCAGTAGGTTTTTTTTGCATTTGCAAACACTGATGGTCTTCCCCAGAATAAAGGTTGTACCATGAATTATAAACACAGTGATGCGCATCCAGTAAGGGCAGGGACAAAAAGTGCACCAAACACATTTCTGAGCTGTAGGAAAGCCTTTTTCTAGTACGGTGAGGTATGTAGAGCTTTGTAGTATTAACAGACAAGACTTTCCTCTAGCAGACTGGATCTCTCCTAGTTCTTCTCCATATGGAAACGGTGAGACAGATTAGCTACTGTGGTCTAAATTCATGTGCAGCAAGAGAAGGAGGAAGTTCTCTGCCAGCTCCGGGGCAGATCAGACCCAAGCAAGGATGCGCTAAGGGCAGGCAGAGGGCAGCCTGAGCATCCACACACAGTCACAGCCCTTGCTCAGTCTGGAAAACAGAGGTACTGAGATGTCCAAGAAGGAAAGAGGGTATCCACACAGCCCTTCCTGGCATAATTTTTTCGTTCATACTTCCTTATGGCACTTGCTGCAGCGCTTACCCTGCACCTGCAGCCCCAGCAGCAGAGCACCACTGACATGACAGGGTAAGTCCTCCTGTCCTCCTCCGAGGACTTGGTGGGTACAGAAGCTGGGGGGATGGAGAAACATCTGCCTGCTTTGCAGAAAGGTTTAAGGTCTGGAATCTCAAGTGGTAAATACTTTCCATTTTAAAATCTGGTTAATACTGTTAAGAGGAACCTATGCCTTCTTTGGCATCTTGCGCATCGCAAGATGAATATTTGCATTTCCTTTGTGGCAGTGACCAAACCATAGCACATTTAGAAATACTTTTCAGTATGTTGTAGAGTGTAAACGCGTACCGATTGCCCTGTACGACAGACAGTACGGTGTGTGCCACTTTCCCGGTTGAGCCTACGAGAAATGAGAGTCTGAGCAGCAGCGCTCGCCTTCCCGTGCCAGATGACATTCTCCTTTTCTGTTGCTATTTTCCAAGTTGCTGCTTACCTTCAAGTGCATGTATTTGGTGCTATTTCCTCTCTGACATCCCTCCAGCACCGCCCCCAGGCAGTGAGCACAGCAGAGTTCAGCACAAGGTGGTTTGCATGGCTGCCCACTCTGCTCCAGGGAGGTCGGGATGCAGATTCCCAACCTCAGGCCAGCAGAAGAACACTTGTGATGGGTTCTGGAAAGGCCATAGACTTTGCTTTCCTGAATGAGCTAGGGGTGGAAAAATCTTTTTTGGAGATGTCTGGCTAGCAGTTATTTTCCTTTTTTATCAGCGCTAGGATTTTATGATAGTAAATATGTGGTAAGATGTCCTAGGCATGATATGTGTCTTCTGCCCCACCCTCCATAGAACAGCTTTCAATTTTAATAAGTTTTATTGAGTTAATTGCACTTGGCCAGACCTGGTGCGTTCAAGGTAGGGACGTGTTTTGCTGGCTTAGCGCAGAAGCAGGTGGTTACTACCTCTCAAGAGTTAATCTTTTATCAGCAAAACTCCACTGTGCAAACTACTTTCAGAGATGAAAACAAACATTTTGTAATGACTTAGTGAGAACAGTAAATATTGACATATGCTATCTCCCTGTCTCTGCAGAAAAGTCTTAAAACCTGTATTTAATTTTCCTTGTTCTTTGCAAGGACTCTGTACTTGCAAAGAATTTATACAGCAAAATTTCCTTTAACAGGATGATCAGTGCATTTAGTTTTAAGATCAAGATGCATGATGCAGTTGAAAGTTTGTTATAATTGTGGAAGTAGATTAAGTATCTAACAAAGTATTATTTCTTTTGCTTTTGTTGAAAAAATTTTCCTCTCATCTAAAATTTCTGAAAATTGTAAAGTATGTGTTGTTACATTTACTTTAGATGTCC